ACCTTGTAACCTGGGCAAATAACCACCAACCAAAACTCAGTCTGAGAAAACTAAGAAGGTAGCCAACGTGGGCCAGAATGAATGGTTTCTTGTGTGCAAACAACATAAATTTTGTGACTTGACATTTCTCCCGGAATTGCTGTTGCTGTGGTTTTACTTTGAAACCTGTGGTATTCTATGTAAATCAAGAAAAATATTCTGCATCTTAAGTCAGCTCGGTTCTCCTGACTGCAAGGTTAATTCCTTGACTTAACCCACATGTACCAGTTCATTGTGGATCACTGATGTCCTGCAGGCCTTCTGCTAGGTGTGAAGACCCACGTGGTCACGTATAAGATGTAGTTTTTGCCTCCAGGGAGCTCTCAGTCCATGTTGAGAGATAGACGTATATAAAAGAGGCTGTGCAATATGAAGAGGGCCATAATAAAAATTTAAATTAGGTGTTGTGGGATCCTAGGTGAGAGAGGAACTTTGCTTAGGGAAGCTGGAAAAGCCTTTATTGCAGACAGCAGAATTTGAGCTAGAGCTGAAATAATGAACAGAGATTTTGCAAATAGAGAAAGTTTAGAGAAAAAAGCATTCTGGTCATAGCATGCATAAAGTCTTAGAAGCCTAAGAGGATCTGGTGGTTCCTGTGAATGGCACAGAGTTCAATGAGGCTGGAAAATAAAGTACAAAGAGAAGAGCAGATTAGGCTAGAGAAAGTGTGTGGGTACCAGTTAACTCTTGCTGCAGAACGAACTGCCTGAACACCTAGGGGCTTAAAGCAACATTCATTTTATTTGCTCATGATCCTATGGGTTGTTCTCACCTGGGAGAACCTATAAGACCAAAGCAGATAAAAGCAGCATCTCTGAAGCCTTGGTTTGGAATTCACACATTGTTACTTCTGCCGCCTTCTTTGGTCAAGATAAGTCATGGCCAGCCCAGATTCCAAGGGTGGGAAAATAGATCCCACCTTTTGATGGGAGGAGTAGCAAAATCACTGTGCAGAGGTGTGTGGAAACAGGGAGGGGAGGAGCTGTTGTGGCTGTCTTTGCAAACAATGTACCGGAGGGTGAAAGCAAATTGTAAAGTCTTGCTTACAAGGTGAACAGTTTGAAATTTATCCTAAGGGCAACAGGAAGCTATCAGAGGTGGTTGTTGTTTTAAAGATTTATTTATTATTTGGGGGGAGGGCAGAGGGAGAGGGAGGGAGAGAGAATCCTCAAGCAGACTCCCCGCTGAGTGAGGAGCCAGACTTGAGGCTCAATCCCAGGACCCTGAGATCATGACCTGAGCTGAAATCAAGAGTCGGCCACTTAACTGACTGAGCCATCCAGGTGCCCCTCAGAGGTTGGGTTTTTTTTGTTGTTGTGTTTTGTTTTGTTTTTAAGTACCATGGTAATAAGGTTTTCTGCTCAACATCCCTTATTAAGGAACCCTTCTCTCCTACAATCCCCATGGTTACTGAAGAAGCATTATGTTAGTACAGTGCCTACCTTTTGATCAATTGTTTAGATCAGGAATGAGCCAACCAGAATCCTTTCTTTAGATTTTCTTCTACTATAGATACTGTAGATGAGAATTGAACATTGCCAGTAGCTGAGGCTGTAAGATGCAGATCTTAGGGAGTGCTACGGAATTATGTTTTAAGCTATATAAAGAAAGCCACTCTGCACAGAGAGGCAGAGATGAGAGACAGAGTCCTGATGGTCTTGGAGTCCACTAAATCTGACATCCCTCTTTGCCTAGGCTTATTCAAATGTGGCTTAGCTCTTAGACCAAATGAATCCCAACTAATACAAAGAGAGGTTAACACCTGCAAGTAGGGAGTTGCAAGTGACAACATAAAAATCTGAAATCAGTTGAGTTTGAGAGTCATGGTTATTTTGACTGGTTTTTACTGGTATATAAGAAAGCTGTTGCTTTTCATACTTTGTATGTAGCTACCCTACTGGTGGCTTTTCAGTTGAATCTCTTAGAATTTCCTAGACCAACAATCAGATTATCAGAAAACAATTATATTTTATCTTTTTCCTTTAGTATATACACATATACATACGCACGTATGTGTGTATGTGTGTGTAATTTTTTTTTTTTAAAGATTTTATTTATTTAACACAGAGAGAGAGCGAGGGCAGGAACACAAGCAGGGGCAGTGGGAGAGGGAGAAGCAGGCTTCCCGCGGAGCAGGGAGCCTGATGTGGGACTCGATGCTAGGACCCTGGGATCAACCCTTTGACCCTGAGCTGAAGGCAGACACTTAATGACTGAGCCACCCAGGCGCCCATGTATGTAATATTTATTTCTTGTTTTGCCTGGTTTGCTAGAACCTCCAAAATAGTGTTTTATATATATATATACAGTATCAGATATTCGGCAAGTTCATCCTGTTCCTGACTTTATAAAAAAAACATTCTAATGTTTCCATCTTAGGTATAATTTTTATCGTTCTTGTCTGTAAAATACTCTTCATCGTAGTAAGAGGATTTTTTCTTCCAATCTAAATTTAATTTGAATTTTAAAAATTTGAAATAGATATCAAACTTTCAAGTAATTTTTCAGTAATTAGCAAGTTCGTATTATTTTCTCTATAAGTCAATTATATTAACATATTTATTAAGATTGAATCATCCTTACACTCTGCAACAATCCCTACTTGTCTTGATGTAGTACTGCTTTCCTGCATTTCTGAATTTGATTTGATAATATAGGCAGTCCTTGTTTTTTGTGGTACCATGTTAATTGCAACTCTGGATATCAGAGATGTGTATCAGAGGCTTGTCCTCGCTTTCCAAGGTTATAACATGCACCTGTCTTATTTAACATAGCACTGTGCAGGGGCGCCTGGGTGGCTCAGTTGGTTAAGCGACTGCCTTCGGCTCAGGTCATGATCCTGGAGTCCCGGGATCGAGTCCCGCATCGGGCTCCCTGCTCGGCAGGGAGCCTGCTTCTCCCTCTGACCCTCCCCCCTCTCATGTGCTCTCTGTCTCTCTCATTCTCTCTGTCTCAAATAAATAAATAAAATCTTTAAAAAAAAAAAAACATAGTACTGTGCAAAACAAAAATTGCCTGTTTATATTTATATTCATATACTTTTTTTTGGTATATCTGTTAGATTTGGATTAGAGAAAAATGAAGACCCTTTCTCTTTCCTATGCTCCAAAACTATTTAAATACAAAAGCTAAATAGACTCCATAAAGCCATCTCCTTAGGAGTGATATACATCTCTGACAATAATTTCACTCTATTTTAGGGCTCTTCAGATCTTTTACTTCTTATTTTTTTTTAAGATTTTATTCATTTATTTTTGAGAGACAGAGAGCGAGCACAAGCACGAGCACGAGGAGGGGCAAAGGGAGGGGCAGAGGGAGAAGCAGACCCCCCCACCCCTGCCCCGGTGAGCTCTGAGGAGCCCAAAGCAGGCTCGATCATAGAACCCTGGGATCATGACCTGAGCCAAAGGCAGATGCTTAACCAACTAAGCCACCCAGGTGCCCTCTTTTACTTCTTACTGAACCAGCTTTGGTAATTGAAAATTGTTCAGGTCACCTAGATTTTCAAATTAATATGTATAAAGTATATAATGTTCTTTCATATTTTTGATTCATTTTCTATAGTTATTGTCTTTCTCATTCCTGTTATTGTTTAAATGTATATTTCCTTTCCTCTTCTTTCTCTCTCTCTCTTTTTGTCAGCCCTTCTGGAATTTTGTCAACTTTATGGGTCTTTTCAAAGATTACATATTTTCATTTTTAAATTCAAATTTATATCTCTTCTAGTTTATTATGTTTTATTTTTATTGATTCACTCTATTATTTTTTAATTTGGTTTACTTTCTCTAGCTTTTTGAGCTGAATAATCAGTTTGCTTATTTTCCATACAACTTTCTAAAAAAGTCATTCAAGACTATGATGTTATAAGAGTGTATTTAGCAAATCTCATGCATTTTGATATGGAATGTTTTCAGTTTGGTTTGTTTTTAATCTCTAAGTCAGTTTTTATTTTCTGTTTGACCCAAGGATGTTAGAAGAATGAATGTTACCTGTCCAGTTTCTACTTTTAACACATTCTACTAGAATGTGTACTTGGCCTGAAAGGACTATGAGCAAAGTCCGGTTTTCTCGTTCTAGCTCCCTCTTGAAAATAAAGCCTGGGTGGCTCAGTCAGTTAAGCATCTGCCTTTGGCTCAGGTCATGATCTCGGGGTCCTGGGATGGAGCCCGAATTGGGCTCCCTGCTCAGTGGAGAATCTGCTTCTCTCTCTGTCCCTCCCCCCCACCCCCGTGTGAGCACAACTACTCTCTCTCAAATAAAATAAATAATTTTTTTTAAAAAGTTAAAGAAAAGAAAGCTCTCTCAATGCCCGGGCTTCCTTTTCCCACCATACCCAAGTGAGGAGCTCTCTCTGTCAGTGCAGTCATTAAGCTTTTCATATTTTTTTAAAAAGTATTGATATTGCAACCCTATGGGTCATTAAGCCAGTGATATTTCAGGGCCCATATCAGATACATTCAAGTGAAGAATTAAGGTCATGAACTTGCTCTGCAACCCGGACATACCCATTGTCTTTCCATAACGGTGCCGTGTTTAGTGCCCGCAGGACCCAATAGTATGTGCAAATTTTGAGGAAATTAATGCTGGGAGGATTCAGAGTTTGTAAATTTCATTCACAAATTCTTTAGAGAGAATGGTTGGATTTTCCTGAAGGAGAGAGAAGAAATGATTTGCTAGAAAAGAGAAAAAAGGCTTTCCAGAGAGGAATAGAATAGTGAAAGTTACAAAGGCCAATAATCATAATTAGTATATACATGTATATTTATGTGTGCATACGTGTATGTGTGTTCTCCACTATTTACTAAACCATTTCACATCCCCTACTTTATTTAAGCATTACAATAATCCTTGAAGAACATCTTGATTATCATGTCCCCATTTTGCTGCTTGAAACACTGTTGTTCCAGGTATGGAACCGAGATCTTCCATTTGAAGTTCTTTCCCTGTATCAGGCTGGGAGGATGAGGAGAAGGAAGGGGTCTGGCTCTTTGGGTGTCCTCAAACGTGTAACCTCAGTGTTTGTCTCATTTGAGATCCCTGCGGCGAAGTTGAACGAGCTGCTCGAGAATTTTTATGTCACCGTTAAGAAGAGTGATGGCTCCGACTTCCTGGCCACCTCGCTGCACGCCATTCGCCGAGGCCTGGACCGCATCCTGAAGAATGCAGGCGTGGGCTTTTCCATCACCAGCAGCACCTTCAGTTCTTCCACCAAGAAACTCAAGGAGAAGCTGTGGGTGCTGAGCAAGGCAGGGATGTCAGGGGCCCGTGCTCGCAATATCGTCTACTTCTCTCTTTCCGACGAGGAGGAGATGTGGCAGGCAGGGTGTTTGGGTGATGACAGCCCTGTCACTCTCCTGTCCACCGTGGTCAAGTACAACAGCCAGTATCTGAATATGCGGACCCTGCAGGAGCATGCAGATCTGATGTATGGTGACATTGAGCTGCTCAAAGACCCACAGAACCAGCCCTATTTTGCCCGGACAGACAGTGTCAAGCGGGAGAGCCGCAGTGGTGCCACGAGAGTGTGCCACGGGAAGATCTACCATGAGCACTCCAGGGGACACAAACAGTGCCCTTACTGCCTCCTATACAAATACATGTACACCCACCGGCCGCCCACCCAAATGGAGGCCAAGTCCCCGTTCTACCTCACGGCCCGAAAGGAGGCCACAGACACGGGCAGCGTGTGGTATGAGGAGCAGAGGATGGGCCTGCGGTCTCTTCGGGGGGTTGTCCCCAACTTAGCCAAGAAGGTCAAGCTGGAAAACTGTGAGAACTTCACCTTTGTCTCGTTCACTCAGGTCTCCAGGAGGCTTGGCTCCCACAGTTGCTGTCAGTGAGTCTTCCCCGACAAGCAAGGGCCAGAGCTCTGGGGTGGCAGGGAATGACAGCAACTTCCAGGTCAGGCTGGTCTTGGTCAGGGGGACCTGCTATTTCTTTGACTTCGGGTGTGTTTTTTGAACTGAAAGTAGAGGAGTCTGAATAATTGGGGTATTTTATCCAAATGTGTGTCACCTTTGTTAAATTATAGAATCTAACACCACGTATAATTGTTCCACAAACAAGAGTGAGGAAGTTCATTTTATCTAGTGCCTTTTTAGCACAGATTTTCTTAAAAAAAAAAAAGAAAGAAAGAAAGAAAAAGGGAGACTGTTTAAGTAGTCATTAAAAAAAAAAAACAAAACTCCCAGTAGCCTAGTAGCTTTATAATGTTATGAAGACTCTATATACTTTGTTGAATTACACTCACAATAAGGAACTGGAAGGAGAGAGGCAGACACATTAACTATTTCCAGGAGACAAATTGCACTCGACACCCCTCTCTCTGTTTTGTTGATGGATGGTTTGGTTCTGCAGAGCAAGCAGCTTTGCCTGATAGAAGCTGGTGGAGCTGCCTGCACTCAGTAGTGCTGATGGGGGGGTGGGGGCCGCCCCCACTGCTCTCAGCACGGGGAGCAACTTGGTCCCTGCGTCAACGGGGACAATTTTAGTTTTATGAAAAAAAGATGAATGCACCAGACAATGTTTGGGAGAGCAAGGTTTCCAGTGAACTAGGTGGTTTGTACCGTGAGGGAATTTCCAGTAGTAGTGGCTTGAAAAAAGCGATCTGTAATCAAAATATGAAAACCTCCTGAAGCAGAAGTGCCTACGTGTTCTTTCTCAGCACCGTGTGGAAGCTATTTCCATTTGAGCCTTTTTTGGAATTTTTAAAATCTGTCCTTCGTGTCATACAGTTGTCCCGTCAGCATCTAGCACCAGATCTGTAAAATAACTAAAGGTACTTTTCAGGCTTCACCAGGAAAATCCAACAAAGCAAGCTGCAAAGAAAACAAATCCCCAAACGTGTTTATGAAAGTACTTTGGAATATGTTCATCAAAGTATGATTTTTTCAGCCACGATAGAGGTCATCATTTTAGGTTGGCCCCAGTGCGTGGGACATGATGATGGAGGCAGCCTGCCAGGTAAGCAGACTCAGCATTAAGGACATGCGTGTAAAAATCAGAGCATGATGATAGGCTATTGACGCACTCAGGTAAACTGCAGCCTGACCACATGTTATGGAAACATGAGCAGAATTTTCTGATAACCACTCTGAATGACAAGTGAAAAAGGAGCCCAAAGAGTGCTAATCAATAATAACAATAATTTCCAGGAATCTTTATGTTGTATTTGAGGAAAGACTGCTACAACATTATGTTCCTGTGTGTGCTTTCTAATCCAAAATTAAAATTCCAGTATAAATTCATGTTGCAAGAGTCCTAGAATCAGTCCTAGTTCTTTTTCAAAACATTTTTGTAGTATTTATTTTAATTAATTGTTCTTAAAAATCATTCACCAGTCGTTGAAATATGTAAGACATCCTTTACCAGAAAAGAACTCAGCCAATGCTGCCTTAAGGTTTAATGTTGTTCCCTTTTTAGTTAAACTGCACATTTATAATTTTGTTTACTAGTTGATCTTTCCTGAGTGTGGGTTAGTTTTGGTATGTCTCCATGTGTATATAAATAACAGGTAATATTTAGTAATCAGTGTTATGACTTGATATTGCATACTATTCTGTTGTGATTTCCTATAGTGATTTTAAGGTTTTGCTTAAAAAAGAGACACAAAACATTGGTGTAGTTTTCTTTAGTTTGCTTAACACCCAAAGGATATTTTGTTTGTGGAAAGCAGATGGTGATTTTTCCTGTCAGTTCTGCACTTAAACAGAAATATAACCCATGTGAACAATGGGGTGGATGGAGCCTGCAGCCTAATTAAATAAAATCTCCATTTTTATTTTAAATGGATTCAAGAGGAAATCGCTATTAGGAATCACTGATCTTTTCAGATTTCAACATTTCCATAAGTAGCAATAACTGACCCAGAGGTTGTCATCCTTCTGTTGACAGGGGCTTTTCGTCAGCTGAGTAACCACCTCTGCTTCACGTTGGTTGCTTATCACTGTTTGATGTGCTATAAATCCCCAGAGTTCTGAAGTGAATGATTATAATAAAAAATCAGGAGGTGGAATCTTCAGTGATATCTGATGGAATGAAAGAATTGTATCTCAGCATCCTAAATGCCATGCATTTCATGCCTCCCTTGGGGAGTGGGAGGGAGAAAGAAAATGCATTTAGCAGGTGCTACTCGGCACCACCCGTTGAACGAGGTACTTTTTTTACATGTTTGTGTTAGATGTCTGTGTGTGTGTGTGTGTGTGCAACACACTTGAAATTTATATGTGGTGATGCCTGGTAAACCTGCTAACGTGGTAAAGCACCTCTTCTTTGTATGGCCATGTCCGTCCTCAGAGGATCTGAAGTGGGGACGGAGTAGCTAGTTTGAAGGGGCCACCTTCACTCATGCCCACTGGGGGACTCCCTGATTTTCTACTCTTGCCTAAGCCAGGAGAAAGGAGAATGCCAACAGAAGGAAGGGGGGGTAGATTAAGGACACTTTCTCCACTTACCTTTATTTATTTATTTATTTTACTCAAAAGTGGGAACGAATATCAGGAACTCACAAGCTCACCGAAGCACAAGTTGCCTTTGGCTCAGCATCGGGAACAGTAGAATGTAGGTATTAGGGAGGACCTGTGGAGCGCTTTGGGTGAGCTCTTGCCCACAGCACCCCTTCTGCGTCTGCTCTAACATGAGCCCTGCTTGCTTGGTACCTCCTCTCCAGAATCTAGCAGGTCTCCCCTTGAAAGTGTATCCCGGCAGAGGTGATAGGGGGTCAGCTTGGAAGGATGTGATCCCATTAAATGTAAAGGGTTTAACACAGCACTAGGTGCACAGTAAGCATGCAATATATATTAGCTATTTTAGCTACAACTTTTGGTAATAGTAATAATATTATTCAACTAATCTGCATCGCATCAATTATTTCTTCCATTGTGGAGATTCTCCCTCCTTTAAACTGTTAAACTTAAGGAGGAAACCAAACCTGATAATCTGGTCACATGTATGCCCATAAATTCTACCTCCAACACAGCCAAGCTCTGATACCTCAGCTGTAAGCAAAAACACGTGAAGAATGGAGATGCCTTAAGAGGCTTTATGAGAAAGCTTTTGCATTGTTTAGTGTGTTTGCAAAGGGGAGTATTATGGAAGAACCTAACCAAAGTTGTGAGAGAAATGGTCTCCTTGGTTGTGTGGCATTTTCCAGCTCTCCTTGGATTATATGCTGTATTAATCTTGCCCTGACTGATAAATGGTGTTTGAGGAAATGTGAAATTCTATTACTTTGATATTTATTTCAATTCGACTTTCTTAAAACGATCGAGCACTGTATCTCAGCATGTTCATAGACAGTCATTGGGAGAATCTGGACAAAATAACCTTCATGTGGAAGCTGAAGCCTCCTGCTACAGTAGAAAGAGAACTTGACTGGGAGCTCCTTCCCTACTCAGCAATTCTGGTCTCACTTCCATCAACGATAAAGTGGGATCATTGGAATGGATCATCTCCAACGTGAACAGTATTACAGTTCCTGAAGCCCATATAGTTAGGAAATAGCAAAACTTGGAAACAAAATTCCTAATTCTTCAAGGTCATATAGTGAATCTCCTAAATTTTAAGAGCTTCTCACTCTACTGGAAAACTTTCTTTCAAAAAAATACTTTTCTTGAATTTTCAGGTTTCACAAATTTTAAAATTATTTTTTGCTATCTCATAGGCAGCAACATGTTGATTACTTTTCTCAGTTTAGAATAATGCTGACCACGGTTTAATTACTTAAATAAAGTAAACAGGATGTTTAAATGTTATGCTTATCAACATGCTTCACTTTGTTTTTACTGAAATCTGGACTGCTAAACCTTTTTGAGCTAGTAACCAGTTACATGCTTTTAGGCATCGATAAATGCAAACAACAAAGACCTCAAAGTTACTTCATTTTCTCTACATGAGATCCAGTTTTGTCTAAGTTAGGGCCCATGCACATTTAGGAATGGTTAACAGTCCTGAGCAGAAGAATGTATTAAAAGTTTCAAATTCACATATCTTTAAATGTTTTTGCTTTGGGGTTGAATTTTTAATGCTCTATATTAAAAGAAAAACATTCGATGGTTTAGTCAGTGTTCTTAAAAATCTTTGTTGTTTTTTTCTCCATGTGAATTAATCACCTTAGCAGAAACATGAGTGGAGGGAGAGCTGGGTGGTGACCTAAGGACACGACACGCTCCCTTCCTGAGAGAAGAGAAGGCCGTGTGGGGTGATTAACTTATCTCTGGGAATTCCTATGTATTCCATGTCCATGAATTCTGACATCACAGGATTTCCCAAAACTCCTTTGAGAGAGGCTGCCCATCCTTCTGGCAAAGTTTGCTTATTATGATGATGATTTTATGTACTTCTAGTTCTTCACAGTCCAGGAAGTCCAGAGATGTTGCCCATGTTTAGTTGGTTTACCAGAATCAGATTTCTGTGCTAAATTAAAGTGCTATATTAATCTAATGCAGGTGATATGGCAGTTAATTTCAGGAAATATTTATTAAAACCAAAAAAAAAAAAATCACTGGGTTATACTGGATGCATATTGTTTCCATTACTATTAAAAGCAATTGGATAGATCCCTCCCCCACAATGAGAGGAGAATGAGCTCCTAAATATTTTATGGTCAATATAACTGATTAGATTAATTTGCATTTAACTGTAGTTATTGTTACAGTTCAAAAAAGTTTCTAGAAAGCTCACATTTGACTAACACTGTGATAAGTGCTTTCTCACAGCTGCCTCATATTCTCATTTAATCTCACAACAGCTCTGCAAGGTAGGCCTAAGTATTCCCACGTTACTTATTGAGAAACCTAAGGCTCAGAGAAATTAAGTAAATTTCTCAAAGTCTCACCAAGCTTGTAAGTGGGAGAACTTAAGTTTGAACCCAGGTCTTCTGACTCCAAATCCAGTGCTCAATCCATGAGACAAAACTGCCTTCTTTGGGGCTACAGAGGGTCCATTTATCACAGAACTTTAAAAAAATTAAACATAATTTCTGTCTGTTTAGGAAATACTTCATTTCTCAAGTCATACAGTGGCACACCTCATATGTACTCTTACTAACTGATTGGTCACTTGGTATGATTCAGTAGTTCCTGGGAAGCCTGATGGTTTCTGTGAATGTTCTGCCTATTGAAAACTTTCTGTATTTATCCAATAAATAACTTGTATTACTTATTATCTA